TCGCCTCTGATGTCGAAGCCGCTGCCGTCGTTGTTGTCGCCGCTGGTCGTTGCAGCCGCACGCCGCCGTCGCCGCCGCTGTCGTCACTCCCGCCGTAGCCATCTCACGAGCCGTGGGATTGGCCCCGCCGAAGTAGTCGTGGCTGCTGCTTGGAATGGGGGTGCTAGGTTAGGGGGTATGGGTGTGTGTGGGCTTGCCACTACCAAGCCTTGGGGGTGTGTTAAATAATATATTGTCTAGAGGCTTTGATAGCCGCTTCATTGTAAAACCTTGACGCTATAAATGTATTATTACATACTAAAGATTAATGGTGTGCCAATTGGTGATCGAGCATGCGACTCAAACCCGCTTCGAATATAATATGGCCATACCCTACTCAACATTTGCTTGCAAAAAAAAGGGGGGGGGGGGGGAGGGGGAAGCGAGAGAACGGCTGAAGTGCCGAAAAAGAGAGGCGGTCAAGAAGGTACAACATGCATGTGGAACATTGGAATACGCACCGTCACGCTGATGAAAGCATGACAAAAGATTGTAACATACAGTAGTTGGTGCGCACACTGTGAAAAGTGTTGCCTTTGTTATTGTTTATGCTTCAACTATTCCGAGCACACTTCTCACACTACGAATGCTTCGGCAAACGTATTTGTACTATCGAGAACAATAATTTACATCTGGCCCTTGCTGGTTCTTAATTGTACTTGTTCGCCACCGCCCCACACTAGAGTTTAGCTCCTTCGTCATACATGTTGTCACATCGGGTGACACAATCCGTATTCGAGGATGCCTGCGTGCCTGCTTTGCATGGTGGTCCGGTTGGTGCGATAGCCGCTTCATGCTATCGGTTCTCGCGTCGGGCTATCGCCTTCCCTGGGTTTTTTCAGAGCCTACAGTGCGGCATGCCTCAAACCATGCAGAGGCACTCCAATTCCACGCATTCGTGATGCCACACGCATTCGTGGGAACGGCCCGGCTTGTTCCTCCATCGGAGCCACACACATGTATTAGCCCGCTGAACATAGTCATCCAACCTTTTAAAAAGAGGCTCATATTGGACATTCGCCACGTGAATTTTTTTCTTTCCGTCCCCCGTTTTCGCTATGAGGGATTGAATCGGGTGCCTGACTTGGTGCAGCAGGACGATTGGCTATTCACCATCGATCTAAAATTGGGCTACCACCATGTGGATATCCATCCCTCGTATTGGCGTTTTCTCGGTTTTACACTCCATGGCAGTGCTACCAGTTTTTGTCATTGCCTTTTGATCTAGCTACTGCGCCGTTCGTTTTTACTCAGCTGATCAAGCAGCTCGCAAAACGTTGGCGCGGATGTGGCATCCGACTTATCCCATACTGTACGTCGATGACATTTTGTTCATCAACGCTACTCGAGCCGAGGCCCTTCGCCACCGTGGCGTCATTTTAGCAGATCTTCAGTCAGTTGGCTTTGCTGTCAACTCGAACCAACCCAGTGCCTTAAGTTTTTGGGTCTCCTGCTGGACACTCGCACCACGTCTTTCTCCGTCGATTCTGGCAGACGCGAGCGACTCTTCGCCGAACCTAAGCAGACATGTGCACTTAGCGTGTAAGGGCGGCATATCCCAGTCCGTCGGGCTGCTCGCTTCACTGGCTTGCTAGCCTACAGGGCGCTCGCGCTTGGTACGGTCGCGCGTGCTTTCTCCCACAATCTTCTTTCTCAGATCTCTGAGTGTCACTCTTGGGGGGCGTCAATTCTCTTGACACCCGAATCCCTCGACGAGTTGCGTTTCTGGCTCACCCAGCTCGATGTCTTCAATGGCCCGTGCTTCCACAATCCTCATCTCTACAACGTCGTGATATATGTGGATGCTAGTGATCGCGCATGGGGCGCGTGTTTTTCAGCGCCGGACAGCCACGTCGGTTCGCATGCTTCACCACTTCCCCGTGCCCTTGTCTTTTTGTATAGCATGCTCCGCGAACTTGCTGGCGTCCTTTGGGCACTGCCAACCTTTCTTGATGAGGTCCGATGCTCGCATGTCCTGCTCCGCAGCGACAACCAAACGGCCTAGTACATTATAAAGAAAGGGGGTTCCCGCTGGCTTGGGTTGACTCTTATATGCCGCTTTGCAAGTGGATCTTCTCGATGATTACTCTCTCGCACAACCTTGGTTCCTTCTGCTAGAGAGGTGTTGGGTTCCTCATAATATTGATTTGTTCGCTTCCCCTGCTAATGCGCAGCTGGCTCATTTTTTCTCGCTCGAGCTCTCTTACGCGGCAGTCGTGCAGGATGCGTTTTTTCTTAGCTGGTCGGGTGACAACTGCTACGCCTTTCCTCCCCCATCCCTGATCCTCGATGTCCTCGCCCACGCTCGCCGCTCACTCACGTCGCTCACCCTTGTAATCCCGCATTGGCCTAGCGCCTTGTGGTGGCCACTGTTATGCCCGGACGGCTCCTTTTGGGCCCCTGCTGTGGTCGCAACCATTCACCTTGCTCCTAGCTCTAGTTGCTTGCGTATTGGTAGCGACCATCGTGCCTTTAGCGGCGCAGGTCTCCCAAACTCATTGATGTATGCGCTTCGCTTGCTATTCACTAATACATGGCGTCGTGCCTCTGTGCAGATTCTTACTTCGGCCGCTCACTTTTGGATTTTTTTACGCTCATTGACGATCTTTGTGCACAGTCTACTCTTCGTACATACGAGCCCTACTGGCGATAGTATCGAGCCTTCTGTACCGAGCACTAGCGTCATTTTCTTCCTGTCAGCGACCTTATGGCAGCACTGTTTCTGTTGCATTCGTTCCGCGGGGGCGCCACCGTTTCAGCAGTGTGATCCGCATGTTCCGCCATCTCATGTGCCCATTGGCTGGTCGGCCTTCTTTCTCATATTCGCGGTCTGTTATCTTCCCTATTAAAGGAGTCTGTGCAACGCCACTACGGCAGGCCCGCTCGGGCTAAGGAGCCGATACCACCCGAGAAAATCTACGATATCTGCGACGTCTACTTCGCGTCGTCCGATCCCGCAAATTTCCAGAAGGGGCTGATCCCTCTCCACATGTTTGCAGCCTTTCTGCGCTGTTCTGGTCTGATATCCCTCAAGTGGCACCAGATTGAGTTTTACCGGGACTGTATGCTATTGTTCATTCCCTGCTCTAGGACCGATCAGGCGGGTACTGGTGCATGGATTCCTATGGCTGCCTCCTCCGCTCGCCACTGCCTCCGTCTCTCGCGTCTAGCATTTCCTATTCCTTGCGGGGTATTCCGCCCAGTCTCTCAGCCCCCTCATCCGTGTATTTTAGCCGGGCTCTCGAGCTTCCCCTTCCGATCGCTCCTCTTCGGATGCCACCATTCGGAGTTGGTGCCGGGATTCCTTCTCTCGGGTCGGACTCAATCGTGATGTCCTTGGTACACACTCGTTTCGCAAGTCCGCTGCCACTACGGCCATTGATGTTGGTGTTCCTGATCGGCCCTTTAAGGCCCTCGGCCGCTGGCGCAGTGACACGGCTAAGGAGCGTTATGTCACCCAGCTCGATCATGAGCTTACCGCTGCCTCACGCACCCTTCAGGACCCTCTCTGCTCCAGTCCGATTGCTCGATATGCAGCCACGCTTGAGCGCCACCGCCACCGACCCCCTCCCTGATGTCTCGTTTGACCTATGACGATTGCACTGCACACTCCTCTGAAAGTCATGTCACAATATGAATAATTTTTTAGTAACAAAAAGTTACAGATTGTGAATCGATTTGAAGAGGAGCTTTGTTGTAAAGGAGACAAGCTCCTTCACATTCTCGCAGGTCCGATGGACCTGCCACCTAGTCTCATTCTCATTTCTCTTCTTTGATTGCTCCCACCCCCCTCTCCCACTTTCCTAGTCGACATTTGCCTATTTAGCTTCATCCTTTAGAACATCCATGTACTTCTCACTCTGAGTGTGTTCTCTTATTGATATATGAACTATGAGGACTGCAGTATGACGATTGCACTACACACTCCTCTAAAAGTCGTGTCACAATTGTTTCACCTGAGTAACTTTTACAGGCTTTCTATATGTAAAAAGGTGTTGAGTGACCCGCTGGATTTACCCTTGAGAAGATCCTCGGGGAAGGGCCATAGGTGCAGAGCCTGGGGGGCTATGGGCGCACTGATCCGCTATTAACAAGCCCCTTTTAGCTCAGTGGTTAGTGGTTGAGTTTCTGGCATGGTTTCAGAGCGTTTGTGACTCGGGTTCAATTCCCAGTGCTAGCGCTGCAGAGGCGCATGTGTCTTCCACCTATCCCAGCGAGGGGGGGTGTTGAGTGACTCGCTGGGGTTACCCTTGAGAAGATCCTCGGGGAAGGGCCATAGGTGCAGAGCCTGTGGGGCTATGGGCGCACTGACCCGCTATTAACAAGCCCTTTTAACTCAGTGGTTAGTGGCTGAGTTTCTGACAAAAAGAACACAGTACTATGAGGAGGTTATTATGGTGTTGTCTACCGTTGAGGTTTAACTATTGACAAAAGTATGAGCTTTGTGTTTGCTGGAGCGCTTACTATTAGAATTTGGGTGAAATGAAAGTGGCTTACTTGTTTGCTTCTGGCTGACTATCATCTTTTCTAGGTTTCTTGCTTCCATCTTATGAAATCCCTTCGTGATGAAATTCCAAATCCACCCCATCAATGGAATCACCCTGGCTATAATAATCACCTGGGCTCAACGATGTCATGGCTGTGTTGGGAGTTGCGTTACATTTATATGGAATATCTCAGTTTGATTCCTATAAGAATCCGAGCAAACTCTTAGTGCAAGGCTCGCATGACGATTATTGCTTAGAATGTTGATTCAATTTTATACTAGTGATGATATTGATACCCTCATTGTAATCCTGTTCTTGGCATTGAAGTGCATTCTCGTAACATCTTCTCCGCAAGATAGTTCGCTAAGCCAGAAATATGAGCTTCGCCAATCTCGTGAACCCGCCTGACACCAGCCGTCTCCCATTTTTTCCCTGCAGCGGAGGCTCAGGCAACTCCCAAGGTTCCGGCGATTTCCGAGGGAACCAACGGTTCAGATTGTTTGGATGAAAATGACCAGTGTCAGTTGTCGACATTGCCGATCAGACCAGCGTGATGGCCACTTGGCCTCTTGGCCGGTATGAGCTCGTCCGTAGCAACGTGATAGTGGCAAAGACGGCATGGCTTCACCAGCTTCTAATTTGACGACGGGTAACCTGACAGTGACAATGGCGAACGCGACAGTAACGGAGGTGGCTATGGCGGAGGTGCTAGCGCAGCTGGCGGCGGTTGAGGCGGAATGGGTGACCGTGGCGGCGCGCGTTAAGAGCATCATGCAGCTGACGACGGGCATCTGGCGAATCATGGCTGCCTTTATCGTCCTCTTCATGCAGGTATGTCGCTATACGTGTCGCACACACTCGTCGCACGCACTTGTCGCAAAATCTCGCTACAGGTGAGGGAGTGTCGCACGCGTGAGGAGCATCATGCAGCTGACGACGGGCGTCTGGCGAATCATGGCGATTTCATCGTGCTGCTCATGCAGGTGATGACAGCGTCGCAGAGTTTCATGCAGGCGATTACTGGCGTCGCAGAGTGTCGCACGCACCCTGGCGACAGTCATTCCGAGCGTGGAATTAGTGTGTCCCACGACAGCTGGCGAGCAGTGCAAGCCAATGCGACACTGAATGAGCATAGCACCAGCTCAATTTCCCTCCCTAGGGGCTCCAGGTACAGGCGTTGCTTTCAATCCTCCGTAATAATAGCCTATCCTATCCTTGACCCATACCCTATCCCGACCCGCTTCACCCATACCCTAGGAGGTGATGCAGCATCTCATAGAGGCTTGGCATTGAGTTGCAGCTAGGCAGCCTCTCATACCTTTTTTTCCACCATTGAGCTTGGGGAGCTGCAGCTAGGAAGACGCTTTTATCAAACCTTCCCCAATGCGAGAGAAGTTATCTCCCGGCAGGTGATGCAGTGTCTCACAGAGGCTTGGCGCGACCCATTTTTTTTCCTACCCTGCCTGTTCATTCTCGCCCCTCCAGCTCGGCATCTCCCTGATAGAGGCGGGCACGGTGCGCTACAAGAACACGCACAACATCATGATCGAGAGCAAATGCCAAGGAGCTGTCTCTTCCACCCTCCCTCCCCCCTTCTTCTCTACCTGTTTCCAGCTCGGCTTCTCCCTTATAGAAGCCGGCACCGTTCGCTACAAGAACACGCGCAACATCATGATCAAGAACGTGCTCGACATGTGCGTCAGCGCCATCGCCTTCTGGCTCATTGGCTTTGCCATTGGCTTTGGGGGGGGCTCTGATTTCGTGGGCTGGGAAACACCCTCAGGCTCAGTAAGACGCTCAGGCTCGGTAAGACGGCTCGGTAAAGTCCTCAGGCTCAGTAAGGTCCACAGGCTCGGTGGTGGGTGTCGTTCTCAGATGGGTGCATGTGTTGTGCTTCGCTTTTGGAGAGTGGTTGCTCATGCTATCTCTCTCTCTCTCTCTAACGGTCCTTCATTGCTGGGGGATCCTAGGTACAGGGTAGGCATATAAGGTGGGTACAGGCATGCATGATGTTCATGTTCGAGCTCCGAGTCCCCGGCTATTCGCTTGGGTGCTCAATGACCGCAAAGCAGTCCCCAAGGGACATGCCTGCCTCAGGGGCACCCAGAGGCAGCCCCTCAAGTGGCGAAGCTTCGTTTACCTTCCCGAGGTAGGTGAGGGCTTGACCCCGCTGGAGGGCGACAGACCATCGCTGGCGGAACTGGCTGAGCAGTTTAGCCGCCTGGTAGGAGCTGGGGTCGGCATTGAAGAGGCGGCGGGCTGCTGTGTGTGCGAGGAGTTTAAGGAAGGTAGGCACTTCGGCGCATGGGCAGCCGTACGTTTCGACCGCGAGAGGGAAAAAGCCGACATATGCTGCCCGGTGGCAGTACTCGTTGATCTTCTTGTCCGCTTGTTCTCGGGCCATGTAACCGCGGCCTTTGCGCGCTAGCGGGTCCCGGGAGCTGATTGGGTCGGTGACGGTGACATCACAGATCCAGACCGCCCCCGAGTCCCGGTCGCGGATGGCCAGGTCGGCGGTCTTGCCGTCGACGGGGTTGTACATCGCCGTTTCTTTCGTGACAATGAGTTGTGCGTCTCGCCCCATGCGGACGCACTCGTCCCGGAGGGCGTTGTGTGTGTCGGTGCGACCGTGTCCTGTCCCACAGCGGAGGAGGTGGTTTGGTAGGCGTGGGTCGATGATCGCGACCTGTTGCGCACAGTTGCAGGCCCTGGGTGCCGGGACAGGGAGGCCCATGCGGAACGCCAAGGCGAAGGCGTAGTGTGGCGGCGCCAGCCGAAGAGAAGGGAATAGGGGGATGGCGAGGAGCCAGTCCCCGGCGCCAAACCCAGTGAGGGAGAGGAGCCGCTGGGTGTGGCCGCTAAGGGGGTTGGGGTCCATCACCCGTGACGCAGCTAATTGATTGGCGAAGCGGGCTGCGTGCACCTCCAGGGCCAGTCGATGCTGAAGAGGATCGTCCGAGGGGTCAGCCCGCTCGGCCTGCAGAAGCGCTAGGGCTGAGGTTGGGAGGGCCGACTCACATTTCGCCAGCCAGGCATGGAGACGCGAGGGGCCATTGAAGGGAGGGGCCAGGGAGCATGCTGCTGCGGCGAGGGTGCCTGTCGGATCTGATGGCAGGGAAATGAGCAACCGGTGGGCCTGTGTGACGCTGGTGAGGAAGGCGTGTGGACCCTCCACTGCGGGATCTGCGAGGCCGAGGCCGCCGAGAGTGGGGGGCAGAGAAGCCTGTTGCCACGTGCGCGACCGCTCCAGGTCGCCCCGTGGGAGCTGGAGGTTGCACGAGAGGAGGAGGGTGTGGAAGAGCTCCTGGCCCCAGTTGGACCATTCCTCGGTCGGCAGCGGGTCAAGGGGGGTGGTGCGGGTGAGATAGGATACGCGTCGTGAGACGCAGCGGTGGAGGAGGAGGCCTGCGGCCTGGGGATCCATGGTCGCCAGGTCAGGGAGCGGTCTGGCCATGTCAGCCAGCTGCTCCCGAAGGAAAGCGGCTGTGGCTGCAGGAGGGCCGAGGTGGCTGCCGAGGACGCGAAGGCCGTCGGCGCGGAAGGGAATGCCCGGGGGGAGGACTGGGCTGGGGGGCTCGAAAGCGGACCACGCCGCGCACTTTGAAGGGTTGTGCACGAGGCCCAAGGGGCGAAGGGCCTCCGTGAGATGCGTGAATGCTGACGCACACGCCGCCGGCTCTCCAAGGAGTGTGATATCGTCGGCGTATGCGAGGCAGAGCACAGTGGGGAACGCGGATGCTGTCGCCTGGAGTGCGGGGTGTAAAGCCGCTGCGAAGAGCAGGGGGCCCATAGGGTCCCCTTGGCGGACGCCCCGGGCACTGAGGAGGGGTTCGTTGCCGAATCCCGCGTCTAAGAAGAGGCGGGAGGGGGCTCCGTAGGAGAGTTTGACGAAGGGGAGAAGGGGCTGGAGGGGCGAGTTGTAGAGCCCCGCCACAATTGCGGCCCGGTCGACGCTGTTGAAAGCGTTCGATACGTCGACCTGGAGTACGAGGGCGGTCGGGAATGCAGATGTGTAGGCGCGGGCGCCATGGATGATCGCCTCGCCGCCCGCGCGAACTGCTACCCCAAACTGCAGCGGGAGGAAATGGGACTGCGCCTGCGATGTCATGGTGAGGAGGCCCACCTTCGCCACAAGGCGGTGCAGGCATTCGCCGATGGCGATAGGTCGCGTACCGCCTCCAGGCTTGGGAAAAGCCATGAGGCGGCTAGCAGTGAGTAGGGCGGCTATTTCCGCGGTAGAATCTCCTTTGAGCAGGCGTAGTGCGAGCTCGTGTAGCTTGCTAGCGACGGAAGTATTAGCGAGGGCAGCGCCGCGAATGTGCTCGAAGCACATTCCTGAAGGTCCCGCGCCCACTCCATTTTCGCAACGACTCAGCAAGCGGATGAACGCCTCCTGCGAGAAGGAGGGGCCAGCCTCCGATTCGTCGAGGGTGGGCCAGTCAATTGACTCGGTCAACGGGGCGGGGTGCTTGGATTTCAACGCCTCGAGGACGTCGGGGGTTGAGGCGCTGACCGGGGTCGAGTCCAGTGCCAGCAGGGCACGTCGGAGACTGCCACGGCGGACAAGCCCTTCTGCTCGCTTCTGCCTGCCGGTGGAGTCCGGCACGTGGCGGGGAGCGGGGGGGTTATGCACAGCATCGATTGCTGACAAGTACAGCGTCTGCCAGTCGCCCGCGAGGAACTGCTGCAGTCGTTTTTCCACCGAGGCCCAATCGGGGTGCTTGGGCGAGCGCAGGCGAAGGGTTAGGCGAGGGACGAAAAGTAACAGGCGCCAGCCGGCGAGGCTGGATGGGTTGTGTGCGATGTGTAGCAGAGGTGTCAGGAGTGCGAGGGCGAAGAGTTGACGAAATTTGGGGGGGATCCTGCGGGAAATCGGGGGCTGGCGACTGTCGCAGAGCAGGTCGATGTCCCATCCCCCCACCCCGGCGAACAGGGATTCGTTGGACGACAGCTCCTGTGGCGAAAACTGCCGAGGGGTCTGGGTATCTGGCGAACCGCTGGCGCGGGAGGAACGCATATTTCGCGCACTCCCTCTGGCAGCCTGGGCGGGAGAGCTAGGTGGCTGTGTGTTCGCAGGTCTTCGTTCGCGGGATCTGAGCGATGGGGACGGATTCCCGCCTCGCCTGCGTGACAAATTCCTCTCCTACAGGGCAGCACTGGACTCCTCCGTTGATGAGTCCTGGGTCCTCGCCAGTACATAAGAAGTGTCTCGTCTATCTTCCTCGCCAATTACCTCCCTTTGCCCTTCCTCCCTTAAAGCCCGGTTAGCAGCCTGCTGGAAGTCGTTCAGCGGGCCTCCATCCCGAGACAAGACCCTTGACCGTCCGCGCCCGCGCCCCCGACCTCGTTGGTCCCGGCTTCCACTGCGTGGTGCCCCTCCGCCCGACGCTCGCTGACCAATCCGACGCGCAGGCGACGCCGAGGAAGGCGGCTGGGCCGTCGATGGAGGCACCCCGAAATGTGGTGGGAGCAGGGCGTCTCCGTCGCGAGCGGTCCCTGGATTTGGAGAGTACGGGGGAGAGCGTCCCCCGCCGAGATTGGGAGAGATCCCCACCGCCCGCGGACCACGGTTGGGAGCGCGGTGTCCCCGTCTCGGCAACGAGCCGCCAGCAGACCCCAGAGCGTCTGTCTGGCAGCCGCCGCTCGTCCCCCGCACGTTTCGAGCGGAAGGCCTCTGAGCGTGCGGGCCAAGACCAGTCGGGGGCAGTGCAGCCTCCGCAGCAGCAGCTCCCGCTGGTCCCGCCGCGTCGAGGGACACCCCAGCGGGGGGCTCAAGCGGCTCCCGCCCAGCAGCGCCGGACGCCACAGGGGCAGCGTGGGCAGTCTGGACAGCACCGCGGGTGGAGGGCCGGAGGGGGCAACGGGCGAGGCTCGGCCGCGGAGAGGCGGTTGGGTCGCGCTGCTGCGACCCTTGAGAACCTAGTCCGCTCGGTAGCACCGCCGCAGCCCCCGAGCGTGTGTCCCCCGCCGCAGATTCCGCCCGCGATAGTGCCTCCTCCGTATTCTGTGCCGCTGCAAGTGCCGTTTCAACCGCCTCCGGCGCCTGTGTCCGTGGCGCCCCAGCCGCCCCCCCGTCAGGAGCATCGTCAGCTGCCTCCGCCGTCTGCCCCCTGGTACCAGGCCCAGCCGCTGCCCCCACATCACCTCGCGCCCAACGCACCGGCTGCACCGACGGCCGTGCCAACCATGGGGACGTTGCCCAGCTGGCAGCCCCTAGCGGTGGGGGCGTCGGCGGTAGGCTGGTACGAAGGCCAGCGACAGCCGATGGCTCCACCGTCCTTCGGCGCGCGGGCTGCCGCGCCCTTTGTTCCCCCCCGTATGGCGATGGGCTCGCCGACAGGAGTCGAGGGGGGGGCAGAAGCAGCGGAGACGGGGGGGGCGGAGTCCTCAGATGAGGGCTTTCCGTGTGAGGGGTCGGAGCAGCGTCGCTCAGGCGGGCTGCGGATGCCGCCGAGGGTGCAGGTGGAGCGGCTGCGAGGGCGGGAGCGCCTCGTGGAGATGGCGGTCCCAGTCGCCACACTTCGTCGGCTCTGGCACGCGCGGCGGGCGATGGGGATCGCAGTGGGGATGCTGACGGACTCGCACTCTGTACTACGGGGCTTAGCGAGCCCGTGCCGGATGCCCCATGATCCGCTCCATCGCGATGGCTGCAGCGGATCTCGCCGTCGTGTCGACGCGAGTGCAGCCTGCGCCCGCCCGGGGAACAGTGTTGGACCCCCAGCTCCTCGCCGTGATGCGCGCAGTGTCGGCGAGCATAGATTCGGCTGCAGCTGTAGACATCGTTGGCGGAGCCGTGTCAGCGCTCCAGCTCCTGGAGGGCTATGTGACGGCCCTGCTGGAAGAAGCGGGAGCGGACCAGCTCGCGTGACCTGCCCCCTCCTGACGTACGTTCGCGTGGGAGACGAGTTCACCAGCGCTAGAGCCTCGGTACGGCGGATGAGGCTCTCCATGTCTGGAGTTAGGTGTCGGGTGTCCCGGCTTGTGGTCTCCTTGTGCCGTTGGTGATGTATCCTTTAGTTGTTGATTCTTGTGCAATGTATTCGCCGGCCCCTATCGCGCGGCCGCAGGCCGCGTTGCGAGCGGCGGCGGCCGAAGGCCGCCGGCGCGAGCCGCCACCAAGGGAAGGAGAAAAGAAGAAACCAAACTAAAAACAGAGGAATGAGAGGACTGAGAGCTCTAAATACTGAGGGACATAGGCTCTCTCTCTCTCGCTCTCTCTCTCTCCTCTCTCTCAGCCGCCACCAAGGGAAGGAGAAAAGAAGAAACCAAACTAAAAACAGAGGAATGAGAGGACTGTGAGCTCTAAATACTGAGGGACATAGGCTCTCTCTCTCTCGCTCTCTCTCTCTCTCTCTCTCTCTCTCTCTCCCCATGCTTTCGTACACCCATGCCCAATGCCCCATGCTCCATGCCCCATGCCCACCATCCCCCATGCGCACCATGTGTCATTTTGCATTCCCCATGCCCATCAGTCTCCCAGGTGGCGCTGGCCGTGGTGCCCAAGGAGAGCAGCTCGCTCTTCTGCTTCAACTCTGTCTTCTGCGCCCCATGTCCTATGCCCAATGATACATGCCCCGTGATCCATGCCCCATGCCCGATGCCCCACGCACGATCCCCCAGGCCCCGCGCACCATGACTCATTTCGCATTCCCCACGCCCATCCGTCCCCCAGGTGGCGCTGGCCGTGGTGCCGCACGAGAGTGGGTCGCTCTTCTTCTTCAACTTCGTCTTCTGCGCCACCAGCGCCACCATCTTCGCTGGAGCCGTGGCCGAGAGAACGCAGATCACCGCGTACCTTTTTTTCAAGTGAGGCCAGAAACGAAAGCACCAAACATAGGTTATTGCACACTGCTTTTGAGTTGACTCAAGAGCCGTGGCCGAGAGAACACAGATCAGCGCATACCTTTCCTTCAAGTGAGGCAACAAACGAAACCACCAAACATAGGTTATTGCACTTCTTTTGAGTCGACTCAAGGGCCGTGGCTAAGAGAACGCAGATCACCGCGTACCTGTTTTTCAAGTAGGCATGAGCAAAACCGGGTAATTACCCGACCCGACCCGGTTTTGCCATACCCGACCTCGGGTCGGGTAATTTTGGGTCGGGTCCGGGTCGGGTAATATGCCCAGGACCCTTACCCGGACCCGGTTTTTTTAGGCGGGTATTATAATACCCGCCTGGCGGGTCCGGGTATATCCGACCCGGACCCCCTGAAAAGCGGGTAATTTTACCTGCCACCTACTAGTGGACATCCTAAAGTTGGGCTAGGCTAGGTAGGGCTCCACTCGTCCCCCCTCACCTCCATAACTGTTTTGCCGCAAAACCTAAAACACAGCGCGACTTACGCCCATGTCTAGGTGGAATACCCGACCTCGGGTAATTTTTTACCCGACCGGGTCGGGTACCCGTTACCCGACATGTCGGGTAGCATTCCGGGTAGCGGGTATTGATACCCGGCCCGGGTAACCCGGACCCGACCCGACGGGTAATTTTCAGGATTTCCGATACCCGACCCGCCCTAAAAGCGGGTCCGGGTACCGGGTACCCGACCCGGCCGGGTAGTTTGCTCAACCCTATTTTCAAGTGCGGCCACCTACAAAAGCACCAAACATAGGTTATTGCACACTGCTTTTGAGTTGACTCAAGAGCCGTGGCCGAGAGAACACAGATCACCGCATACCTTTTCTTCAAGTGAGGCAACAAACGAAACCACCAAACATAGGTTATTGCACACTGCTTTTGAGTCGACTCAAGGGCCGTGGCTGAGAGAATGCAGATCACCGCATACCTTTTTTTCAAGTGAGGCCACAAACGAAAGCACCAAACATAGGTTATTGCACACTGCTTTTGAGTCGACTCAAGAGCCGTGGCCGAGAGAACACAGATCACCGCATGCCTTTTCTTCAAGTGAGGCAACAAACAAAACCACCAAACATAGGTTACTGCACACTGATTTTGAGTCGACTCAAGAGCCGTGGCTGAGAGAACGCAGATCACCGCGTACCTTTTCTTCAAGTGAGGCAGCTAACGAAAGCACCAAGCATAGGTTATTGCGTACTGCTTTTGAGTCGACTCAAGAGCCGTGGCCGAGAGAACGCAGTTCACTGCATATAATTTCTTCAAGTGCGGCAACAAACGAAAGCACCAAACATTGGTTATTCCACGCCTCGTTGCCAAGTTCCCTGCTCGCCTTAGCTGCTCCACCACGAGGGAGGACGACCCTAGCCTGGCTTGAGCCAAGCTGGCTTGAGCTCGGCCCTTGCTCATGTCTAGTCCCAGCTCAGTTTCGTGTTTCGTACCCACTTCCCTGTTGCTCCAAGTGTTCATTCCCCTGTCTGTCCCAGCTTCTTCCTGGCAGCCATCATCTACCCGGTCATCGCGCACATCATCTGGTCGCACCATGGGCTGCTGTCAGCCGATGCCGGGGACCATGTGCTGGGCACGAGGGGGGTGCTGGACAACGCGGGCTCCATGGTCGTGCATGTCACAGGTGAGGCTGATGGTGCGTGTTGCATGGCACGTGTGGGCAGAGCAGATGCTGTTATTGAGGCGCCTTTATGCCATGTGTTGGGCACGAGGGGGGTGCTGGACAACGCGGGCTCCATGGTTGTGCATGTCACAGGTGGGTGGGTGGGTGTCAAACCTGGGCGGTCATGTCATGTCATGGTCAAAAGATGATTTGTTATGGATGCTTTACACGTGGTTACATGCGCTTCAGTTTTTTTTTTTTTTTTTTAAACGTTTGTACATGTCCGTGTGTGGTAATCTGACTGGTTCCATGACCATGTGCATGGCAGGTGGCGTCACATCATTGGTTGCTGCGTGGATGGTTGGACCACGCATTGGAAGATTTGATATTGATGGCCGTGTTGTACCCTTCAGAGGACACTCCCTGGTACGATGCGATTGCAAGGTGTGCTATAAATAAAACATGTTGGGCATTTTCACATCTCCACCACTGCATTCCTGAATTATCATTGCATGCATCCCATTTCATTGCGATCTCCTAATTTTGCCTCATGTTTCTATGTGTACCTTCGACGGTTGACATCACAGCAGTGAATAACCACCCACATTCCTTCTCCCCCCCCCTCCCCCCCTCCTCTCCCCCCGTTTCCTCTTTTGCCATCCTCCTTATCCACGCTCTTCCTCCACTGCTCCCCGTCCCCGAGCGCTCCCAGGTGTTCATAGCAGCCGGCAGCACCTGGGGCAGCCGGCCAGCCAGCTGGGTGTGGGTGGCTGACGCCTCCTCTCCTTCCCACTTTCCTCTACTCCCATGCTGCTGCCAATCCCTCCCTGCCCGAAACCAGGTCTTTATAGCAGCGGGCACCATCATTCTCTGGGTGGGGTTCTTCGGGTTCAACGGCGGGTCGGTGCAGTACCTGGGGCAGCCGGCCAGCGTGTGGGTGGCGGACGTGGCGCGCGTGTGTGCTAACACCACCGTGTGTGCGGCGTTCGCGGGCGTGGCGGTGTGGTTTTTGACATACTGGCGGAAGGAGCCCAACCTGGAAGACACGCTGAATGGGGTGATCGGGGGTCTTGTGGCGGCTTGTGCCACTAGCAGCATTGTCGAGGCGTACGCTGCTTGCATCATCGGTGAGTCGGCACGCCAAGGCATATACACCAGCGCGACAGCATGTGCAGCATTCGCAGGCGTGGCGGTGTGGTTTGTCTCGTACAGGTGGAGGGAGCTGAACCTGGAAGACACGTTGACTGGGGTGATTGGGGGCTTGTGGCTGCGTGTGCTACCGGCAGCATTGCTGAGGCGAGTGCCGCTTGCATCACTGCTGAGTCGCTGCCATGGCATGTGCGCCAACATGACCGCATGTGCGGTGTTTGCGGGTTTGGCGGTGTGGTGCGGTTTGTCTCCTCACGTACAGGCAGACGGGGCCCAACCTGGAAGACGCGCTCAATGGGGTCATAGGGGATTCTTGTAGCGGCATGTGCCATGAGCAGTATCGTCGAGGCGTATGCCGCTTGCATCATTGGTGAGTCAGTCAGGGCGAGTAATCAAAGTTCAGCTCAGAGAGACACGCGCGCATAGGCATGAGCAACGAGTCCAGTCGAGTCGGAATCGCCTCGAGTCGGCTCCGAGTCGGCTCAAAATTGAGTCGAGTCTCGAATCGGGTCGAGTCGGCCAGTCTTGATCCGTGACTCGTGACTCGTTTTCCTAGGGTCGAGTCAGGGTTGACTCGTTGCGAGTCGAGCTGACTCGGCCGACTCAATTTGAATCGCCGTACCCCTGACTCGACTTGAATCGACTCGAATCGAGTCGGGAAGATTTTTTTTAAAACTCAACTCGGATTTTTTTCAAAACTCGACTCGTTTGCTCATGCCTACGCGCGCACGTGTGGTAGCACCTCGCCATGGGAGGCATTCACTTGGGTTTCGGGCGAAAAGTGCCTAATCTGGAAGACACGCTGCATGGGGCACTCAATGGAATGGAATGGGGTGATAGGCACGCTCCTGGCCGCGGCGCGTGTGGCGTGCCGCGAGCGTTACTAGGAGGTGTGGTTTCCGTAGTGGAGGTTCAGCCAAGACCGCATCCAAGTGGTTCGACACCTGGGAAGGGATGGATTCACTCCACCTATCTGAGTGAGTTTGTTCCCCTTGTCTCCATCACCAGGTGCTGTTGCAGGAGCGGTGTATCTGGTGGGGGTGCACCTGGTGAACAAAGCACGAATCGACGACCCCGTTAACGTAAGTCTCACTGTCCTCGTTATAGCGAGTTTCATTAGCCCACTCCTGGTGCTGAACTTGTCTGTGTAACCTTGCATATTGCAGCAAATGCTGGTACGCTGGAGTAGGCTACAATAGCCCCACCCACCTTCCCCCTCTCTTTCCTCTGCCCCACCTCACTGACCCCTTCCCCAGGCCACAGCAGATTACCTTTTTTTAGGTGCCTCAAACACAGCACTTTACCTGGCCCAATTCTTGCTTGGCTCATGGGGCAGCATTGCTGTGGAGTTTCATTGCTTCTCACTTATCCATGGCTTTTTCCCACTTCTTGTGACGTACCCACTCACGCCACCTTCCTGTCCTGTCCCCTTCCCCAGGCCACGGCGGTGCATCTGTGCAGCGGCACGTGGGGCAGCCTGGCAGTGGGCTTCTTTGCGCCGCCAAACAGCAGTGCAGTGCGAGTACCTGTTCACTGACCCCCGTGCCCTGTGCTTCTTGTTCCCCTCCCCATTCCCCTACCTCCTCCTTGCCCAGGCCACGGCAGTGCATCTGTGCTGCGGTACGTGGGGCAGCCTGGCAGTGGGCTTCTTCGCGTCCCCAGCAGCGGTGCAGCGCACCTACCAGTTCACCGAACCTGTGCCCTGCGGCCTCTTCTACGGTTGTGGTGGCTCGCAGCTGCTCGTGCAGGTATGGTTAAGTGTAGGTGTTATTCAAGTCGACTTTCAAGTATGTGACAGTAGGCAGGAAGCCCTATCAGCCCGTGCCCGTGACAGTAGGCAGGAAGCCCTATCAGCCGGTGCCCATGACAGTAGGCAGGAAGCCCTATCAGCCCGTGCCCGTGACAGTAGGCAGGAAGCCCTATCAGCCCGTGCCCGTGACAATAGGCAGGAAGCCCTATCAGCCCGTGCCCGTGACAGCAGGCAGGAAGCCCTATCAGCCCGTGCCTGTGACAGTAGGCAGGGTGCCCTATCAGCCGATGCCCTGCGGCCTCTTCTACCGCTGCGGTTGCTCGCAGCTGCTCTCGCAGGGGCTTTTCCAGACGACCGTATTTCAGGTGTGTTTTCAGGCACCTGTATTTCAGGTGCGTTTTCAGGCGCCTGTATGTCAGGTGTGTTTTCCGGCGTGCAGGTGTGGCTAGGTGCAGGTGCAGGTGTGGCTGGGTGCAGGTGTGGCTGGGTGCAGGTGTGACTGGGTGCAGGTGTGGCTAGGTGCAGGTGTGGCAGGGTGCAGGTGTGGCTGGTGCAGGTGTGGCTGGGTGCAGGTGTGGCTGGGTGCAGGTGTGGCTGGGTGCAGGTGTGGCTGGGTGCAGGTGTCGCTGGGTGCAGGTGTGGCCAAGTGCAGGTGTGGCTGGGTGCATGTGTGGCTGGGTGCATGTGTGACTGGGTGCATGTGTGGCTGGGTGCATGTGTGACTGGGTGCATGTGTGGCTGGGTGCACGTGTGGCTGGTCAAAGTTTGCAGGCAGAAGCAAAGGCAAAGCCCAACCATCCGTGCCCTGCGACCTCGTTCATTTTCACCTGCAGGTCTGCTACAAAGGTTCCCACTTCCAGTCAGCTCACAAGTATGCACGAGGAAGCGGGATACGTTACTGCCCCTGTGCCCTGCTCTTCTGGCAGGCACACTTGAAGCCGAGCTAGCTGGAAGCTGTCTACCTTCACTCCCTTGCTACTCCCCTCAACCCTGCCCTTTTGCACGCAGATCATTGGGCTTCTTTTGGTGTACGCATGGGTTGGCCTCACGTCCTTTGTCCTCTTCTTCGCCCTCCACTACTTTGATGTGCTGCGAGTCAAGAGGCACGAGGAGGAGGTGAGGAGTGGAGGGCTTGGAGTGTGTGGCATAACGTGTGTGAGATGGGCATGGTTGGTGCCACAATGTTTGCCCTCCATTACCTTGACGTGCTGTGAGTCAAGAGGCACGAGGAGGAGGTGAGGAGAGGAGAGGGTATGGAGGAGGAGGTGAGGAGGGAAGGGCATGGAGTGTGGGTGTGATGGAGGGCTTAGATAGGCAAGGCCGGAGCCACATTGTTTGTCCCCCACGTTGTTTGTCCCCCACATTGTTTGTCCCCCACGTTGTTTGTCCCCCACATTGTTTGTCCCCCACGTTGTTTGTCCCCCACATTGTTTGTCCCCCACGTTGTTTGTCCCCCACATTGTTTGTCCCCCACGTTGTTTGTCCCCCACATTGTTTGTCCCCCACATTGTTTGTCCCCCACATTGTTTGTCCCCCACTTCACATTGTTTGGCATTGCACAGAGGGAAGGACAATGACTGTTTGGGCTTCACGGTCCAGCGTGTTCCCTCCCGCCGCCCGCCGCTCTGTATCTGCTGCATCCATACCTTTCTGTCTGCACACTGGTGGGCTGGGCTTGCGTGTGGCATTCCTTGGAGGGTAATGGAATGGGTGTTTAGGTTTCCGGGTTTAGCGTATTTCCTGTCTCTGCTGTGTATACATCTCTCTGTCTGTGCATAGGTGGGTTTGGACGTGGCATTCCACGGGGGCAACGATGATGACGAGGCGTTCGATGTGGCGGAGGATGGCGACAGCATGGCACGGAGGCTGCTGACGTGGCGCAAGCTGCAGGTGGGAGAGAAAGCATTGTGTGGTGATGTGGCACTTATGCCCTCACTCTTTGTCCTGATGAGCCTCGATTCGACTAATGCTGTATCTTCTCCGTCTGTTTTATGCCGCTCGTATTCATGTTCTTCGCTCTCGTCTGTTTTATGCTGCTGATGGCACTCTTAATTGCACGTACCTGTGCAAAGCATTCTTCTGTGTCTTCTCATCCTATCCCCCCACGCCCCCTCCCCCTTTCCCTGCCTCTCACTCACTTCTCAGCAAGTGCCTCAGCTACTCGTTGCCCCTTCCAATGCTCCTTTCCCCTCCTCTCGATCTTTCTGTACCCGTGTGCCTTCTTCTCAATCTCTCCCCACCCACCAACTGCTTCCCCTCTCCCCTTTTTACCGTCTTCTTCAGTCACTCATGTGGCTATTCCCTATTCCCATGTGGCTCCTCTGTTGAGTTGCCTCCGCACCCCTCTCATCATCCTCACTTGCAAGTTCCTCATTCTGTCTTCCTCTACTTTTCCACGTCGCGCCTCCCCTTTCCCCATCGCTTTTCCCCCCAGCAAGTCTCGACTCTCTTTGCCACAGCAGCCGCCATAAATATGGCCTTTGAAATCACCCACAATCACTTTAACCTCTCCCCTCTCCTCCCTGCTGTTCTACCCGGCACCCTCGTCGCCCTCTCCATGCCCCCTTCATCCTCTCCATGCCCCCTTCATCCTCTCCATGCCCCCCCACCGCAGCAAGTCTCGACTCTCTTCGCCAGAGCAGCAGCCAGGAACACCAGCCGCCAAAACGGCTACGGATCGGCTGGGGCGGCAGGGAAGGGCGGCAAGGGCGGCAGGGGCGGCTTGACGCAGCTGGCGCAGACACTTAACCTCCCAGGGCTGAACGTGCACGAGAGGCAGGCGCGGCGCGCCGTGTGGCACAAGTCCCTGGAGGGCACACACCTGGGGCGGTTCTCGCTTGCCATGTATGAGGCGAACTATATTATGGAGGACACTGTAGAGGTAAGCACCTTCGATCTCGTGGCTTAGGGGCGACTTGTGAGTCGAAAGTCAAGAGGCAGGCGTATTGGGCCATGTGGCACTAGAGCCTCGACCTCCCGGGGCTGAGTGTTTGTGAGAGGCAGGCCCGGCGCGCCGTGTGGCACAAGTCCCTGGAGAGAACGCACCTGGGGCAGTTCTTGCTTGCCATGTACGAGGCTACTTACATCATGGAGGATACTGTAGAGGTAAGCGCGTTATATTTCGTGGCTTGGGTGGTTTTTGAGTTGGCTTGTAAGTGCTGTAGAGAGAGGCAGGCAAAGAAGGCCGTGTGGCACCAAGTACCTGACGGGACACACTTGGGCCGGTTCCCACTCGCCATGTATGAGGCGAATTGAGTCTATTTATGAGGCGCCTCAAAAATAGACTCCTCACTTGGGGCGGTTCTCATTCGCCATGTATGAGGCGAATTACATCAGGGGGGATACTGTAGAGGTAGATGCCGATTTTTTAGGCACCTATTAAATCGTCTGGAGAGCACGCAGTTGGGGTGGTTCTGTTCTGGCTTGCCATGTATGAGGTAAATTATACCATGGAGGATACTGTAGAGGTGCTTTGTGGGGGTATTTGGTTTCGAGACGTGTTGGGAAAGTGGGTGAGGTGAGGTAGGTTATGTTGAATGTTGTAGATGTGAGTGTGCTTGACTAAGGTGACAGAATCAATGAGGGTCACCAACTTCGTTGGAGTGTTCCGTTTTTTCTCCTTCTTCCTCCTCCTCCTTCCTTTGTTCCTTGCTCCGCATCATTTACTTTCTTTTGCTTTTCGATGTTTTTTAGTGCGAGCTCATTTTGTGAAGGGAGGGGTGCTGATCCAGCGTACAAAACACCACATCTGAGGTGTTCTCAAGCATAGTTCTTTGTTGCCATGGCATAGGTGCAATCGTCGAGCCGCGGGGTCTTCATTGGGATCCACGATGGGCACAACGGGAGCGAGGCGGCGGAGTTTTTGCGGGAAACACTGTACAACAATATCATCCGTGAGTGAAATACCGTACAACAATATCATGCGTGAGTGAAATACCGTACAACAATATCATCCGTGAGTGAAATACTGTACAACAATATCATGCGTGAGTAAAATACTGTACAACAATATCATGCGTGAGTGAAATACCGTACAACAATATCATGCGTGAGTGAAATACTGGACAACAGTATCATGCGTGAGTGAAATACCGTACAACAATATCATGCGTGAGTGAAACACTGTACAACGATATCGTGCGTGAGTGAAATACCGTACAACAATATCATGCGTGAGTGAAATACCGTACGACAATATCATGCGTGGGTGAAATACTGTGTTGTAAAATATATATCTATACAACATGCATGCCTAGATTAGGAGGTGTAGTCATTATAATTATTGGGGGGTTGTTGGTTGGGTTGACCAACCCAACATTTGGGTTGGTCAAGATTGGATTTGGTCCTAGACATTTGGTTGGCACTATTCCAACCAAATGGTCCTTGGTCCTAGGAACCAACCAATCACCAAGCACCGCACTATGTGGTTGCTTGCCTTCCAAGCAATCTCTCTCATTGGTCCACATTGTGGCCAATCGGAGAGCACCACACTTCGTGGTTGCTTGCCCTACAAGCAACCTCTCCCATTGGTCCACTTTATGGCCAATAGGAGAGCTTCCCTTCCAACTCTTCCTTGCTCCTTGTTTTGTACAAAAGAGCCTCTTGGCTCCCTACTCAATTCAATCTTTTCTCTTCCAAGCTAGTTCCTTCATGGTATCCAGAGCCACAATGGCTCACGCCACCTCTAGTCGATCCTAACTAGCACGGCTCTATGCCGTCCCTCCTCGTCTTCGAAGCCTAGCCCTTCCTTAGGCTACTTCCCGCGCCCCCCGTGCGCCCTCTCCCGCCGCGCTATTCCGTCGCGCCTGCTCTTCCTCCCGTCGCGCGCCTTTTGCCGCGCCCGCTCACCCTTCCGTCGTGCGCCTCCCGTCGCTCCTTACGATGCGCTTCAGCCCGTCGCATCCTCCTACTGCGCCCGTTGGTGCGCTCCTACGTCGCGCGGCCCGTCGTCGCGCCCTCTCCGTCGCGCTTTCCGCACGCTCGTCCGTCACGGCTTCCGCGCACGCCCGTCGACAAATCCTCCTGTCGCGCCCGTACTCTCCGCGCCCGTTGTGCCGCCGCCCGCGCACGGCCGTCGGTCGATTTCTCCGCCGCGTGCGCCCGCTCGTCGTCGATTCCGCGGTCGCGTGCTCCTGTTCTTCGCGCCATTTCGGCGTGCAGCCGGTCGCCGCACCTATCCTTCTCCTCCCTCCTCCTTTCCTTTTCCTCCTCCTTTCCTTCTCCTCCCCCCCCCCCCCCCCCCCCTTCCTTCCCCTCCTCCTCCTCCATGGCGTCCGATTCCTCGGTGGACCTTACCTCCGTCGACGCTCTTGAGCTGCTGCCCGACAACACCGCGGTCAATTGGCATTCCTATGCCCAAACCGTCACGGTGCTTCTCTCCTCGGTGACGGTCAACTGATACAACCTGAAAGCCGTTGTCCATCTCGAGGAGCGCGGTCTTCAGCCTGCCCAGCCGGATGCTCCCGCGGGCCCTGCACCTCCTCCTCCTGGCGATGCTCCCGTCAGCCCCGGCGATCCTCCAACCTTCGCCCCTGACGTCAACGACCCTCAGAGCTCCGAGACCGCCATCCGCACCTACCGTGCCGGCCTCACCGACCACGTCCGCCAGCAGCTGCTCTTCGAGGCTTCCCGCGCCGAGCATGACGCCGCCATTGCCACCTACAACACGTATCAGGCAGCGCTCGCGGAGTACGTCAGGCGCGAGCGCGCATACATCACCGACCTTGCTGCCTGGCGTGTCGCTGACCGACGCGCGCTCACCATCCTCCTCGCCACCATTCCTCCCACCCTCAAGCGGGAGCTTGCTCCCACCTCCTCCTCCCACCTCTGGCGGCTCCTCACCGATCTCTATGATCGGCAGGACGTCGCCACCCTCTACTCCCTCATCAAGGAGTTCCAGAGCCTCACCATGGACTCTACCACCATCTCAGCTGCCTTCACGCGTCGCGTCATCGACCTCGCTCGGCGCCTGGCGGCTCTTGGCGTGCCGCACCCGGACCCAGTGCTCTGCTGCCATCTCCTTGAAGGCTTGACTCCTGCCTTCGACACCCATAAGATCGCCTACATGCAGCTGATCGACAAGTGCATCACCCCGGCTAAAGTCGCCCAGTGGATTATCACCACCGAGGCCGACCTCTTGCGCCATTCCTCCTCAACTGCCGCTATTGCTCAGCAGCGCAACACCAGGGGAGGGCGTGGGGGTGGGCGTGGCGCTGGTCGTGGTGGTGGTGCGGGTCGTGGTGGCAATGGCGCAGGACGTGGTGTAGCAGCCGCCTTTCCTCCTTGTCAGTATCTCCCTCGCTATGGCCCCACGCGGGGTCAGCGCTGCGGCCAGACCACTCATGCCACTGATTCTTGCTTCAAAGCGCTCAGTGATGAGTGGTTTGCCCGCGGCAACACCGGCACCCCCCCCCGCTGGTCCTCCCTCTCCCCTCGCCCCACTCCTCAAGAGGTTCGTACCTCCCCTCTTTTCCAGCCCGTCTCCTCCCCCTTGGCCCACCAGGCCGTCTCTCAGCAACAGCAGCAGCAGCAGCAGACTCCGCAGCAGATCCTGCCGCAGCCGTTTCAGCAGCAGCAGCAGCAGCAGCAGCAGCAGGGGCAGCAGCACCTCTTCTCCCAGTTGCAGCAGCAGCTTCAGCAGCTCCAGCAGCAGCTTGACCTCCAGTCGCAGCTCCCCCTTGCACCTCCTCCTATGGCTCCCCCCCAGCAGCCCTACCCCGCTTGGACCGCCGGCATCGCCGCTTCCGCAGCTCACCTCTCGGGCGCGTCTCCCGCGCCCTCAGCCTCAGGCAGTGTGACTCCTTTCCCCTCCTCTGGTTTTGTTGGCATGGTTAATCAGGTTGGAACCCCCGCCCCTTCTATGCATTCGGCTGCTATTAATGAGAATGCCTTTCAGTACTCCGTCCCACCTCCTCCCCCACATCCTCCCCCCTCCACCACGCTGGACTTTGTCCTTGACAGTGGAGCCACCGAGTCCGTCCTTCGTGATGCTGGTACCCTTCACCCTGTCCCAGCCCCCACTTCCCTCCTTGGTGCCGATTCCAGCTTCTCTATTCCCTGTCGCCACACCTCTACCCTCCCCTGTCCCCTCTTCCCCTCAGGTACCGTTACTGGTTTACACATCCCCTCCCTCCGTACTAACCTCCTCTCCCAGCGATCCCTGCAGCAGGCCGGTATCACCACCGTCTTCCCAGGTCGCACTAATCACTGCCTCCTATACCATCCCACAGGTCGCCTCCTCTCCCGTATTCCCTTTTGTCCTCGCTCCCGCCTATATACCCTTCGAGTTCCTCGTCTTCCCTCTGCCCAGGCAGTCTCCCGCTCCCTCCCCCCACCTCACATCCCTCCCCCTCCTCTCCCTCCTTCTAACCCAACCATTCCCCCCCCCCCCCCTGACCCAACCTGCTCCTGTCGATCCCTCTCCCATCCCACCATCCTCCTCCACCACAGGCTTGGTCACCCCAACTTTGCCACCCTCCGCGCAACCGTCTCCTCAGGTCTCCTTCGAGGTCTTCCCCTCACCCTCCCTCCCCTCCCTCCCTCCCTTGCCCCTCCCTGCTCCGTCTGTGTCCAGAGCAAGCTCAAGCAGCTGCCGCATCGGAGTTCCCCCTCCGCTGCTGCTCAGCCGCTTGATCTTGTTCACATGGACCTTTGGGGCCAACCCCTCCCCTTCCCGCCAGGGCCATCGCTACATGCTTGTTCTGGTCGATGATCACAGCCGATATTCTTCCGTCTCCCTTCTTCGCTCGAAAGGTGACGCTCCGGCTGCGATCATCGCCTGGCTCAAGCAGGCGAGCACCCACTTTGGCCGCCCTGTGCGCCGCCTTCACTCTGATGGCGGTGGCGAAATCCTTAATCGGCAGGTAGCCTCCTACTGTGAGCTTCATGGCATTCGCCAGACTCACACCCTCCCCCACTCCCCCCAGCAGAATGGTGTGGCCGAGAGCCGTGTTCGGGAGATCACCAAGATTGCTCGGTGTCTCCTCGTCCATGCCTCTTGCCCCCCTTCTCTGTGGGGCTATGCCCTCCTTCACGCCACCCTCCTTACTAACCTGTACCCCCACCCTATCCTTCCCTCCACCACTCCCACCGAGCTTTGGACGTCGGCCAAGCCTGACGTCTCCTCCCTCCGTGTGTGGGGCTCCAGGGCGTATGTCCTCATTCACCCTGCGGACCGCCCCCGCACCATGGGAAAGCTCGCCTCCCGTACCCTCCCCTGCATCTTCCTTGGTCATAATCCCTCCTCCCCGGACTACCTCTTCCTTCACCCCCCCTCAGGTCGTTTCCTCCGCAGTCGGGATGTAATCTTTGATGAGTCCACACCCTACTATTCCACTCCTCCGCCCACTGACCCTCTCGCCCCTGCTCCCAGGCCCCTCAACTGGCCCGACACTATCCCACCCCCTCTTCTCCCTCCCCCTCCCATCCTCCCCCCCGCTCCACCTCCTCCATTCCCCGCCGCCTCGATCCCTAGCGCTCCCCCCTCCTTTGGTGACATATTTGACCCTGACCCTTTTTCCCCCCCCGCCTCCCCGTCCCACTCCTCCCCCTCCGCTCCCTCCCATCCTCCCCCCTCCCCTCCTCCCCCCTCTCCCCCACGACCCCCTCCCCCCCTGCGTCCCACCCGCTCTATCCTCACCCGGTATCCCCACACCAGGTCGCGTGACGCAGTCCTAGGTGCCCTGCCTCCTGTTATCCTCTCTTCCTCTACCTTGCCTCCTCTCTCCCCTCTCATGGATCTCCTTTTTCAGACAGTCTTACAACAAAACACTAGCCCAACCCTGCCGTCGAGCTCCAGTACAGCAGTCCCAACAGCAGCAGCAACAGCTGCAGCAGCAGTTCCACCCACAGCAGCAGCAGCCGTCGCTCCTTCCTCGCCTTCACCCGCAGCAGCAGCAGCGACAGCAGCAGATGCAGCAGTAGCAGCCGCCTCAGCAGCAGCAGCAGCAGATGCATCCTCAGCAGCAGCAGCTGCAGTCCTCCCATTCATTTTCCACTCCTCCCTCCTCGAGGACTCCCATGAGGAGTTCCTCAACCTCCACCTGCATGATCCTGCCCTCCTATCCATCTCCCCAGACCTCGGCGGCACACCAGTCTTCGCCTTCTCCTCCGCCCCCACCATCTTCGTCCCCGCCACGTACGAGGGGTCCATGGCGTGCCCTGATGCTCACCTCTGGCTCGCGGCCATCCTCAAGGAGTTGGAGGCGTTCATTGCCAACTCCTCCTTTGTGGATGTGCCCCGCCCTCCCTCTACCACGAACGTGGTCAAAGGGAAGTGGGTGTTTCGAGTGAAGCAGCTTCCTGGCGAGCCGCCGGTCTACAAGGCCCGCTACGTCGCCAAGGGCTTCACCCAGCGCTACGCTGTCGATTTCTTCGACACCTTCTCTCCCACCGCCAAGCCCGCTACCATTCGCGCAGTCCTCGACCTCGCCGCTCGCCTCAACATGGAGATTCACTCCATGGACGTCTCCAACGCATTCCTCCAAGGGGTCTTGCGCGAGCTCATTTACATGGAGCGTCCTGCAAGTTTCCACCTCCCCTTTCCTTCCGACTCTGTCTGGCAGCTGCGTCGGCCGGTCTATGGGCTCAAGCAGGCACCAAGGGAGTGGCATGCCAAGCTTGCTGCCACCCTCGCCGAGCTTGGCTTCAGCACCTCCCGCGCCGACCCCAGCCTCTTCCTCCGCACCTCCCCCTCCCCCTTCTACATCCTCGTCTATGTCGACGATATGATCCTCATCACTGCCGACTCCGCCGAGCTCGAGCGCGTCAAGCGTGAGCTTGGCAGCCGGCTCAAGTGTAAGGATCTAGGGGAGCTGCAGCACTATCTCGGCATGGAGATTACCCGCGACCGTGCTGCTCGCACCATCTCCCTCTCCCAGAGCCACTACCTGCAGTGCAGCAGGTCCTGGAGCGGTTCGACATGGCTCGAGGCACCCCTCAGGTCACCCCTCTTCCTGTTGGGCACCACCTCACTCCCCTCACCTCCCCCTCCTCCTCCTCCCACCCCTACGCTGAGCTCATCGGCTCTCTCATGTATGCCATGGTCTCCACCCGCCCCGACCTGGCATACCCCATCAGTGTTTTGGCCCACTTCGTTGGTACCGGCAAGCATGATGCCGCCCACTGGCAAGTGGCCAAGCGTGTCCTCCGCTACCTTCGGGGGACCAAGGACTACGTCCTTACCCTTGGCGGCCCCTCCCCTCCCCTCCTCACTGGCTACTCTGATTCTTCCTGGGCTCACTCTAGGCCTGACCGCCGCTCCTCTCAGGGCTATGGCTTCACTCTTGGCAGCGGCCTCATCAGCTGGCGCTCCACCCGCTCCTCCTCCATTGCCCTCTCCTCCTGCGAAGCAGAGCTGTATGCCGCTACCATGGCTACGCAGGAGGCCCGCTGGCTCACCTTCCTTCTTGAGGAGCTTGGTGGCCCTCAGCGCTGTCCCACCATCTGGTGCGAGAACGCCAGCACCATCCACCTCACGAAGGATGCTGTGTTCCACGGGCGCTCCAAGCACATTGAGCTTCGCCACTACTTCATTCGCGAGCTTGTGCAGGGTGGCCACCTCCAGCTGGGCAAGATTGACTCTGCTGCCAATCTTGCCGACATCTTCATGAAAGCCCTCCCCCACGCCGCCCACTCATCCCTCCTTCGCCTTCTTGGCCTCGCTCCCCCCGTTCCCTCGTCCGCCTCCTGATTCAAGACATCTAGTCTTATGCATGTTGGGGGGTTGTGTTGTAAAATATATATCTATACAACATGCATGCCTAGATTAGGAGGTGTAGTCATTATAATTATTGGGGGGTTGTTGGTTGGGTTGACCAACCCAACATTTGGGTTGGTCAAGATTGGATTTGGTTGGTCCTAGACATTTGGTTGGCACTATTCCAACCAAATGGTCCTTGGTCCTAGGAACCAACCAATCACCAAGCACCGCACTATGTGGTTGCTTGCCTTCCAAGCAATCTCTCTCATTGGTCCACATTGTGGCCAATCGGAGAGCACCACACTTTGTGGTTGCTTGCCCTACAAGCAACCTCTCCCATTGGTCCACTTTATGGCCAATAGGAGAGCTTCCCTTCCAACTCTTCCTTGCTCCTTGTTTTGTACAAAAAAGCCTCTTGGCTCCCTACTCAATTCAATCTTTTCTCTTCCAAGCTAGTTCCTTCATACTGTACAACAAAATCATGTGTGAGTGAAATACTGTACAACAATATCATGTGTGAGTGAAATACTGTACAACAACATCATGCGTGAGTGAAAAACTGTACAACAATATCATGCGTGAGTGAAATACTGCTCCACAATACCATTCGTGAGTAGCGACACTTCTCATCCCCTCTCTCCTTCTTTCTCACCCTCTCTCTCTCCTTGCCGTCTCTCCTGGTACCAGGAGAGTGCAACGACTGCTAAGGGGTGCCAGTGGAGGCACCTACCCTTGCACCCCCCATTCCTATGACATTCTCGCTCAATGTCTCCTTCTCTCACGTGCTCACTCCCCACAAATTTCTCTCTTGACTTCCGTGCTCCAGGCGAGTGCAACGAGGGCAACGGGGTGTCAGTGGAGGCCCTGCGGCGGGGCTTCGACGCTGTAGAGAGGCAGTTGGCGACACCTCTCGCCCCCTCTCTCATTCTCTCGCATTCTCTCACTCTCGCTCCGTGCCTTCCCTGTTGCAGGCGAGTGCAACGAGGGCAACGGGGTGTCTGTAGAAGCCCTGAGGCGGGGATTCGATTCAACAGAGAGGCAGCTGGCAGCAATCGTGAGGGAGGCGTTTGAGGAGAGTCCGCACCTGGCCATGGTGGGGGCATGCTCCGTGGCGGCGCTCATCACTCCGTCTGCCATCTGGGTGGCCAATGTGGGCGACTGCAGAGCCGTGCTGGGGCAGGTGGGTTAGAGCTGGAACAAGTGGGCTGGAATTGGGCCAGGAAGGTTGATTGCGGTAATCTAGCATTCTTTTCCTAGGACTGTGCTATGCTGGGATGGGCAGGGCAACCAGTGTGGGCCTGTCAATCGCTGTGAGACGGTCGTCTTGACTTGTTACAGCGCATCACCCGGCGCATCACCCGGCGCATCACCCGGCGCATCACCTCACCCGGCTCATTCAGCGCATGGGTGAAACTTCGGCTTTCTCAAAGTTCGCCACGTTTTAGGCAGAGCGGCAAGCCGAGTTACATTGGATCACCCCCGGTGCATTCACCTCATACACAAGCAAATGTCAAGTGGCGGACGGCATAGAGTGCCAGGCGGTGCAGCTAACCACTGACCACAACCTGTCGGTGCCAGCCATCTGAGAGAAGTACACTTCGGAGCACGCCGACATGCCCCCTCCCCTCCCCTCCCCATCCCCGTCCGTTGCCCCTCTACCAGGTGCGGCAAGTGGCAGACGGGTATAGAGTGCCGCGCGGTGCAGCTATCCACGGACCACGACCTGTCTGTGCCAGCGTGCCGGCCATCCAGGAGAAGTACATTGCTGAGCATGCCGGCATGCCTTCTCTCCCCCGCCCCCCTGCCCTTGCTCCTTTACCAGGTGCGGCAGGTAGCAGACGGCATAGAGTGTCGAGCCGTCCAGCTCTCAACGGACCACAACCTGTCGGTGCCAGCCATCCGCGAGAAGTACATTGCGGAGCACGCCGACATGCCCGACGCCGTTGTTGAGCGGCGCGGGCGGTTCAGAGTCAAGGGCAAAGTCATGGTGAGGGGGGAACCATAGTAAGGGCAATGGCATGGTAAGGGCAAAGGCATGGTAAGGGCAAAGGCATGGTAAGGGCAAAGGCATGGTCCGTGCATGAGAGCTCTTGGAGGGGAGGAGTGAAGTGGTGTTGAGGGTGGGCAAAGTCAAGGGCGTTCAAATGGAGGCAGGGCAGCGAGGGTGGGAGGGAGAGGTGAGAGGGAAGAGGGGGTGGTGTTGAAGGGTGTGGCAGCAGATCTCATGACTCCAAGGGGATGCTGGTGTTGAGCTGAGGGGCTGCAGCACCATTTTGAGGGAAATCGTTGGAATTGCACACTAATTGTTAGCTATCATGATGAGTCTATCCTACAGATGTAGTGTGCAATTCCAACGATTAGTTGCACACTACAGCTATTAATTCCAACTAATCGCTAGCTGTCAACATGAGTCTATCCTACAGCTGTAGTGTGCAATTCCAACGATTAGTTGCACACTACAGCTATTAATTCCAACCGAGTCGCTAGCTATCATCATGAGTCTATTCTACAGCTGTAGGGTGCAATTCCAACGATTAGTTGCACACTACAGCTATTAACTCCAACTAATCTCTAGCTATCATCATGAGTCTATCCTACAGCTACCAGCGAGCGATGCTTTTGCTAGTAAGTCCACACTCTGCTCTCTAGAACCAGTTCAGTCTTCCTGTACTCACACGCCACTGCTCACACGCCCCTGCTCACACGCCCCTGCTCACACGCCCCTGCTCACACGCCCCTGCTCACATGCCCCTGCTCACACGCCAGTGCTCACACTCCCCACTCCCATCTCCGAGGTGACTAAAGCATTTGGCGACCTGTACCTCAAGTCCGCGGAGTTCTATCGAGAGCCTATCTTTCCATGCCCCCATGTGCCCATCTCCCCACTCCCCACTCCCCACTCCCCACTCCACTCTCCCCACTCCTGACTCCCGTGCCCCAGGTGACCAAGGCCTTTGGCGACCTGTACCTCAACTCAAGTCCACCGACTTCAACTGCAAGCCCCTCGTGAGCTGCTTCCGCCCATCTCCTCCGACCCCACGGTGGCTTCACTTTCTGCGCGCCCATGCGCCCCCACTCCCCCACCCCAGGTGACCAAGGCCTTAGGCGATCTGTACCTAAAATCTACAGGCTTCAATCGCGAGCCCCTCGTGAGCCGCTTCCGGGTATCTGAGCCGTTCAACCCGCCCCTCATCTCCGCCGACCCCACAGTGGTGGTGCGCGTCTTCTCGCCACACGACTCCCTCCCTACTCCTAAGCTCCCCACTCCCCACTCCCCACTCCCCTTCTGCCTGCTCTATTCTCCCATCTCCCAGGTGACTAAAGCCTTTGGCGACCTGTATCTAAAATCTACAGACTTCAACCGCGAGCCTCTTGTGAGCCGCTTCCGCGTGCCCGAGCCATTCAACCCGCCCCTCATCTCCGCCGACCCCACGGTGGCGGTGCGCGTCTTCTCACCGCACGACTCCTTCGTCATCGTGGCCTCCGACGGGCTCTTTGAGTTCCTGTCCAACCAAGAAGCCGTCAACATCGTCGCCAGCAGCCCCAAGAAGGTGGGTCTGTGTCAAATATCCGCATTTTAACCAGCCAGGCTTCAAATGGTAAGTCTTTAACCGTCTTCACTCCTTCGTCATCGTGGCCTCGGAAGGGCCCTTTGAGTTCCTGTCCAACCAGGAGCACCTCAAGAATAGGTCTTGTCGCTCTTTCGTGTGTCGTTGCCCCTGCTGCAGGACGCTTTTGAGTCGACTCAAGAGGCCCGCCAGTTGACTTTTGAGTCAACTCAAAAGTCATTCTTGTCGCTCTTTCGTGTGTCGTTTCACCTGCTGTAGGACGCTTTTTAGTCGACTCAAAAGCAGTCTTTCGTGTGTCATTGCTCCTGCTGCAGGACGTGGCCCGCCAGCTGATTCGAACCGCACTGCAACGGGCGGCTGAGAAGACGGAGATGCCGTACAACGACCTGCTGCGCATGCCGTCCGGCCAGCGGCGGGATTACCACGATGACATCAGCGTTGTTGTCTTCTTCTTGGATCACGATGCAATGAGGCGATCCACCCGCAGCTTCTGGAAAAAGGTGAGCCGAGAGCCATGAGCCGAGAGCCATGAGCCGAGAGCCATGAGCAGAGAGCCATGAGCCGAGAGCCATTAGCAGAGAGCCATAAGCCGAGAGCCATGAGCCATGAGCCACGAGCCATGAGCCCACCCCACCACCCGAACCACACCCCACCACACACACACGCCCCTTCTGTTCCGGGGCGTGCCTGTGCAGGGGGTGCCTCCTCCACTGCCTCCTCACTTCTGGGCCTGACAACTGACGTTCAACAGTCACATTTCTGATCAGCGCATTCACCTCCTCTTTACGACCCTGCCCTCCTACCTCTCCCCCCCCCCCCCAGGACGTGTCCATAAAGGGTGGCTCCGCCGCCTCCTCTCTCCTCGCACCTCCCACCATCTCCGGTGCTGACGTGCACAACATCACCAGCCTACACGGCGCCACGTCAGCGCGTGACGCGCTGGCGGAGGCGCGGGCGCAGCAGGGGGAGAGGCTAGCTCAGGGCAGCGGCTCGTGGGATTTAGGCTCGGTGGAAGGTGACACGGTAAATGGAGGCTCGGGCCGGAGCAAGGGGGATGGTGGGGAGAGTGTGTTTGCCAGGGTGGGAGGGTCGGGGAGCAGTAGAGGGGGAGTGTGGAGGGAGGAGGATCGGAGCATGTCTGGAAGTCGGTATGCTGATGCGTTGGTGGGGCTGACAGTGCCTGAGGATACGGCTGTGGATGTCAGCCAATTGGGACCCGCCAGCTCGTTTGCTGATGTCAGCTCGACAGCACTGCTCGACTGAGGTCTTGTTCTACACGACCTATAACTTTTGGCATAAATCTTACTTATGGTCTTAGGGCCAGTTATGACCGCTTACCTATCTGACTTCTTGTCAGACTTGTATTGTAGAATCACGTCGAACAATTTCACGCCAATTTTGCACTCGGTGCTACCGTGCCTACATCAGGGCCACGCCTGAAAAACGCCCATTTTGCACTCGGTACTCGAGACTGATGGCCATATAACCATGGTGGTCTGGTTCCCTACGATATAACCTGGTCTGTTTCCACTTGGACTGTACAACAATATTCGTACAGCTGGTTTGGTTGGGTAGTTGTTTGGTTGGGGCACCAGAATTGTGACGAGGGGAAAATGCTGTTAGAAATTCAGTCACTAACCACTGAGCAAAGGGCAGGGCTGTCAAATGTAACTTATGTAGTTACTGTAGACTATACTGGATTGTGCCTTAGAGGGTACAAGCCCTAGTCTATATACCCATGTATCCTTCTATTCTACTCAACTACTACTCATTTTGATATGGTATCATAGTAGGTTCGGCCCCCCACCTAACCCACCCACACTTCCGCCCTAGGCCCTAGCGGCCGTCACGCCCGCCCCTAGCCGTCGCGCCCGTCCCTAGCTGCCGTCTCGCCCGTTCCCAGCCGCCGTCGCGGCTGTTCCTAGATGCTGTCGCGACCGTTCCTAGCCGTCGCGGCTGTCCCTAGTCGTCTCGCGGCCGTCCCTAGCAGCCGTCGCGGCCGTCCCTAGCCGCCGTCTCGCGGCCGTTCCTAGCCGTCGCGAACGTTCCTAGCCGCTGTCGTGGCCGTTCCTAGCCGTCGCGACTGTTCCTAGCCGCCGTCGCGGCCGTTCCTAGCCGCCGTCGCGGTCTTTCCTAGCCGACGCAACCGTTCCTAGCTGCCGTCGCGGCCGTTCCTAGCCGTCGCGAACGCTCCTAGCCGTCGTCGTGGTCGTTCCTAGCCGTTCTCGCGGCCGTTCCTAGCCGTCGCGGTCGTCCTTAGCCGCCGTCACGTCCTAGTCGTTGCGGCCGTTCCTAGCAGCCGTCGCGATCGTCCTCCCCGGCCCCTTGCACCGTTGAGTACGTCCCTAGCCGGCCCCGTGTGCCGTCGCGCCCGTCCTAGCCGGCCCTGCTCGCCGTCGCGCCTGCCCCTAGCCGGCCCCCTCTCGCCGCCGCGCCCGTCCTGGCCGTTCCTCCCCTGAGCCGTCGCGCCCTCTCCTAGCCGGCTCCTCATGCCGCCGTGTCCGCTCCTAGCCGGCCCCCTTCGTGCCCGCTCCTTACCGGCCCCTCGCGTCCGCCGTCCACCGGCCGGCCCCTAGCGTCCGCCGTCGTCGCCGGCCCCACATTCGTTTCGCCGCCGGCCCGCCGCCGACTCGTGCCCGGCCCGTTCTTCCCGCCCAGCACTGCCCTCCAACCCCCCTGGTACCGCACTGCACCGCTTTGTACTGCACTGTACCGCTCTGCACCGCTTTGCACCGCGCTGCACCGCTTTACACCGCTTTGCACTGCACTGCACCGCGCTACACTGCACTGCACCGCACTGCACCGCGCTGTACCGCACTGCACCGTACTGCATCGCTCTACACCGCCCTGCATCGTTCCTGATGGTGGAGGTGCTTCGCTTTGATGCTGAGGGCCAGCCGCTTGAGTTTGAGGCGTGGTTGGCCGACCTCCGCCGCTACCTCACTGGTCAGCGGCAGGATGGCCACTCGCTGTCTGTCCATCTTGACGTTACGCTCCCCTGCCCTGACCCTCCTGCTGCGCTGCCCGCTGACCCCTCGTCTGCTGAGCGTGAGTCCGCTGCGGCCGCTGCCCTTGCTCGCTCTGTTTGGCTGTCGCGTGATGCTGTCGCACAGCTTGCTATCAGCCATGCCCTCCCCCTGTCTGAGCGCCCTTGCTTTAGGTCTGTCACCATTGCCCAGGCTTTCCTAGATGCTGTTGTCCAGCGCTATTCCACCTCGCCTGCTGCCTCGGTAGGTCGCCTGATCCTCCCCATGCTCTTCCCTGACCTTGCGTTGTTTCCCACTGTCGCTGATCTAGCCGCCCACGTGCGCACTATAGACGCCTAGAGATCGTCAGCGACACTGTGTATAGCTTGGTCTTGTTCCTGTAGCTTCTCACTTGCTAGGGCCTTGATTGTGTACAAACCTTTTCTATATATATTACCCTGACTGGCCTTGTGGCCTCTCCCAGTGGCTGGACTAGTAGTGCCGCCCTGGTCTTGCTCTTGCCTTGCCTGTATTCCTTTGACTGGTCTTTAGACCCTTGCCTCAGAGACTGGACTAGTAGTGCCGCCCTAAGCTGCTTCTTCTCCTTTTAGGCACTGCCCCTATATAGTCTAGGGGGTGTGTCAAATCTAACTTATGTAGTTACTGTAGACTATACTGGATTGTGCCTTAGAGGGTACAACCCCTAGTCTATATACCCCTGTATCCTTCTATTCTACTCAACAACTTCTCATTTTGATAAGGGCCTCAGATAGGATTTTGGGCATCCTGACCAATCAGGGCTGGCCATAAAAAAACCGTGTAGCACTCAGGGCTGGTTGCCTATCTTTATACCGATTCCTCAAGGTGGTTCCCCAGTTCATACTGTGACCTAAGGGTAAATTCAAAAACGTCGGAAACGATGCAATAAGTCATATTGCACCACAACAGGATACTAACAGGATGTTCCGTCGATACTTCATGTTTTGCGGTAGCTTAGCCACTATCGGTCAAGCTTGTAAGATTTGGCAAAAATCTGCGCACGCAGCAAATCAGGCGGGGAAATTTTCCGACACTCTAATTTTTCACGGCCTGTTGTTATGTGATGCGATGTCAGGCCACTTCGTGACATTCAGGATTTTGCTTGTCAAATTTGATTGTCAACGCAGTCTTGACACGAATTAGCGAGACACGTGTCGACGTTGAGACACACCATTAGTTGAAAATTGCCACGTCTGAATTTTTAGACGAGAGTCGAAGGCATGTGGGCGAACGTGAAACAGTTGCCGTCGAGCTGTTCTGACGGCCTGTTTGAGTTTGGATGCTGGAGAGCTCGAGGGAATTTTGGGCATTATGAATTTGATGGCCAAGATCTGTTCAAGTGAAGTGACAGGAATTTTGACCGTTCGATCGTCGACGAGAGTCAATCGTATGCAGAGACTTTGGGGGGTTTGAATATAGTGCGTGTGGAAGACTATGCTAAAATGTCTAGCTCGCCAAGATTTTAGGGTTGAGGGAGGTTCGTGGAGGATTGGCTCTAGCATTGATGACTTCACCGAAAATTTAGAATAGCGGGGGGGGGGGGGGGGGGTTTGGGTTTTGTTCGAGGATTGTCTCTAGCATTAAGAACTTAACCAAAATACAATGGCGTGGGGCTGGTTGGAGGATTGACTCTAGCATCGAGGACTTAGCCGAAATTTGTTTGGGCGGAAAAACACAAAGCATGCGCCCGTGGGGCACGTGCATTTGCAAGATTCGATGAATCAGGGTTATCCCCGAAAGCATGCTGACACCTCAGGGCTGGTACACGAAAACTATACTGAAACTTCAGGGTTGCACTATGACTTAAAACTGAATTCACAGGGTGGAAAATGACCTTAAACTGAATTTTCAGGATTGACCCCTAACAAGCATCCTGAAAATCAGGAATTCAGGATAAAACATCCGGATATCTGAGCGGCTGGCGAAGGGCGTGTTACCAGGGCTCTGGCTAAGGTTTAGGGAAGCCTTTCTAGTCAGGGCCAGGCCCCCCCCCCCTACCCTTGGGCATCAGGGTCGACAAAGCCTACCCTAGAATTTACAGGGTGTTTTGGACATTCATCCTTTCTTGCCAGGGTGATTACAACATAGAATCTTTCCTCTATTGTGGGCCGGGGTGTTATAGTGTGTGTGCCTTGCATGTAATGTGCTTGTTTGAATCCACTGTCAAATCATTAGTAACATCCAACACCAACCCATGACTTAGCTAACAATGAAGGCTTGGGGTTGCTGCTAGAGCTACCACGGCAGTAGACTGGGGGGGGAAGGGGGGTGAGATCCTTTGCATGTCGTCGGGGCTTGTTATGCCAGAGGTCAACCACATCCAGCCAATCAATCTCATCCCTCAGCAACGACACAATCATGAGGTCCCCTAGGCACGCATCCCCCAGGCAGTTGCGATTCCAGCTGCTGATAAGGTTCTGGCGGCTGAAGCCGCGCTCACACTCTTGAGATGTTGACTAGCTAGGAAGAGAAGACGCCATGGAATGGCGTGAGGTTTTAGGGGAGGAGAAAGTTACGAGAGAAAAGAGAAGAGACTAGAAAGAGAGAGGGATACAAGGAGCGGATTGTACCGTCTACAGTAGAGTTCGATACCCTACCAAGCCTACTCGCCATCCCGGCGCCACGTCTTCCAAGTACGTGCATCTTCACCCATACTACGAGGGGGGGGATCGGTGCGGGATGTTGAGGTGGTGGGTCTAATAGGCCTCTTTTTGCTGGCCGTCACAATTTGTGTGGCGGCCTTTACACTTTTATCTTCCACCACCTCCCCATACTTAATCTTTAGGGCCATATTGGCCACTTCGAAACCGCAATCATGATAGCGCGCCATCATTTCAACGAAATTTGCAACTCCATTGGCGATGATTACAAGATCCTGCTGTGCGCGCTGATTCGTCGGACGAGATTCCAAATCGGCGTGGGTGTCCGGATTCTGGCGATCGCCACGATCCTGGTGCTCTTGACGATTTGCGCGCTGGTCAAGATTCTGGCAATCCAGTTCCTAACACGTCTGGTCACGCCCAGGATTATGCTCATCATTTCGATCGGCGCGCCCTGGATCGCGATGATCATTGTGATCCTCGCGCGCAGGACCGTCATGATTGCGACCGAGGGGTGCCGCGCGCAACTGTTCCACGGCTGGTGGGGCGTTTTGTCCTGCTGGGTTCGTATCGACACGTTCTCGTTCGTCACACAGCTCGCCGCAAAACCCGGGGGGGAAATCGTGACCGCTAGAAGTGTTATGATCTCCAACGGGAGCCAATCGGAGTTGCTGAATGGAGTTTTGCCAAGCGCCATTCGGCAAATCCAATGCAGTAACAGGAGCATTTCGGTTGCGTGGAGAGCGGGAACGATCACGGTGAGAGGAAGAAGCTTGACTTCCCTCACGCACAGGGGAGCCAAGTCGTCCGTTGCTCCTGCGATTCATTTTTGAAACAGGAGGACGGCCTCGTGCAGCAGAAACCATTCCTCCACTCATGGTAGAAAAACGTGCGGGGATCACGTCCGCAAGTAGCATGCTCTTATGCCCAGATCTGGGTGCTGGTGGTAAGAAATCAGAGAAGAGAAATGAGAATGAGACTAGGTGGCAGTGTCAATTTATATATATGTTTATATGTAGAAGTTATAGGCTAGATAGGTTTGTATTCATTGAGGATACAACTCCAACCCTATATCCTCTCCTGTACTCCCTTGTTCTATTCATTTTGCTATTCTAAGATGGTATCATAGTAGGTTAGGTCCACCCACCCGCTTCCGCCCTCGCCCTAGCCTACCGCCCCACCGTTCCTTTAGCGCGCCCAGCTGGCCTTAGCGCGCCCCGCTATTTCTCAGCGCCCCGCCAGCCTCGTTAGCGCGCCCCACTGGTCCCTTACGCACCCCATCTGGCCCTAGCATCCCGCCGGCCCTTAGCGCCCCGACGACCCCTCGCGCGCCCGCTGGTCCCTTCGTGCCCCTCGAGCCCTGCCCGGCTTTTGCGCCCCGCTGATCCCTTCTGCGCCCCGCCTGGCCCTAACGCCCCACCGGCCCTTAGTGCCCCGCCGACCCCTCGCGCGCCCGCTGGTCCCTTAGCGCCCCACCGGCCCCTAGTGCCCCGCTGGTCCCTTACGCGCCCCGCCGGCCCTTAGCGCCCCGCTGGTCCCTTACGTGCCCCGCCGGCCCTTAGCGCCCCGCCGACCCGTCGTGCGCCCCGCTGGTCCCTTACGCGCCCCGCCAGCCCCTTGTGCCCCGCCCGGCCCTCGTGCCCAGCTGGTCCCTCCTGCGCCTTGCCGGCCCTTAGAGCCCCGCCGGCCCCTCGCGCGCCCGCTGGTCCCTTAGCACCTCACCTGCCCCTCGATCCCCGCTGGTCCCTTGCGCACCCCGCCGGCCCCTCACGCCCTGCCTGACCCTTGCGCCCCCCTGGTCCCTTTTCGCCCCGCCTGGCCCTAGCGCCATGCCGGCTCTTTTACGCCCAACCGGCCAATCGACCCTCGCCGGCCTTCTTCGCTCTCTGCGAGCCCGCCGCGCTCTGCCGGCCCAGTGAGCCCCGCTCGGCCTTCCGCTCAGCCTTCCTGTCAGCGAGTTCTGCCGTCGTCCCGCTGTGTCGCCGTGCCACTGTCTAGCTATGCCGCTGTGCCGTTGTACCGCCATGCCACCGTGGAGCTGTTTCGCTGAGGTCGTACGATGGCGGACTCTGTACTTCGCCTGGACTCGGAGGGGCACGCGATCGACTTTGCCACCTGGCTTGTCGATCTTCGCCGTCACCTCACAGGTCAGCGCCAGGATGGGCACTTCTTGGCTGTGCATGTTGATGGCTTGCTTCCCCGCCCCCCCGCGCCTGATCCCCTCCCTGATGACCCCATCGCGCGAGGCCTTTTCTGCTGCTGTGTGCTCAGCGTGAGGCCTTTTCTACTGCTGTGCTTGCTCGCGCTGTCGAGGATTCCCGCGATGCCGTAGCGCACCTAGCCATTAGCCATGCTCTTCTCCTGTTTGAGCATCTGCACTTCATTGCTGTAGCGAACACCCAAGAATTCTTAGAGGTCGTAGTTGCACGCTACTCCACGCCCGCCACCGCCTCGGCTGGCCGCCTGATACTCCCTATGCTGTTCCCTGATCTTGCCGTTTTCCCCACTGTAGCTGACCTAGCCACTCACCTCCGTGCACTAGAGGCTAGCTACCGCGTCGCTAGTACTGCCGCCCAGCTCACTGCCTTCCCCCCGCCGTTCTGCGCTACCCGGTACCTCATTGCTGTGCGCCTTCCAGACCGCTTAGCAACTGCTCACGACCACTTCCTTAGTCAGCATCCAGGTGACCTCACCCTTACCGCCTTTGTCACCGCCCTGTCTGAGATAGAGACTCGCCAACGCACTATCGCTCAGTCGAGCGGTACTGCAACTGTCCCAATCTTCCAGGGCTGTGCGCCCTCCTAGTGCACTTACGCTGACGTGTCTGCCGCTGTCACTGAGACAACCCCTGCCGCTGAGACCACCGCTGCGGTCACCGCACAATTGTTGGTGCAACCCTATGGCTTGCACTCGGCTTGTCGTCCTTGTTCGTGTGTGTGCATGCATGGCATGGAATGACTTGTAAGTCTATGTCATTGCTATCTAGTGCTTGTATGTGTGCTTGAATGGTGTATCACGATATGGTTTGTGTCGGTCAAGACATTAGTGAGTTTTCACAACTCGCATGTCAAGGCGTCGTTTGCGCGTCACATGTGTTTTT